CCCAGCTGTCAACATCTGTCACCTGCGGCTCTTCTGTGTTCCTCTGGCTGCTTAGGGCGATGGCAGGGCCCGGAACGACAGCCGAGGACGTTGACAAGGGGAAAAACTCCGGGGCTTCAATGCGGAGCATTTGCTGGCCCATGTCCACCCGTGCTTGCAACGGCAAGGGCGAGGGATGTCGTTCAACCGACCTGAGGTCCAGGGGCAGCTGAACCCACCCCCAGGGGAGGAGCACTGGAAAGCCGAACCCATACACCCACTCCGTAGTGGATGCCATGTGATGCTGGGACGGTGCGACGAGTCCTCAGTTGGTACACAGAAATGAGCCCGACAGCTGCTGACAGAAGCTAGGGCTTTCGCATGGTCGGCATGGTGGAGTCTTGCATGTGAAAGTTTGCAATTCCCACGTACTTCGCAAAGCGCAGAATAGGAAGAGCGGGGGAATGAGCAGGACCTTTCGAAAGAATGCAATGCCAGTGTATCGAACCTGAGCAACGCTGCCTAGATCTTTGTCATCACTAGCTCCACTGCAGAAGCAGTGCTTTAAGGAACATCTGCTACCTGATTCCTGCGAACAGCCTAAGAGCATTCAAGAAAGCATCCCTCAACCCTGAACCCGGACCCTCGACCCCTAAACCCCCAAACCCCTAAACCCCTGCATCCCAAAACCCATTGGCCCTCAACCTCTAAACCCTAAACGAAGCTACCAGCCGTCTCCCGTATTGCTTCTGCGCTCATTGCGCTTATAGGCACTACCCGCAGCCCAAAAATCCTACCTTTCGAGGGCTCCGCATTCTCATTGCCAGCCCTTCAACCCCAAACCCACGTAGAAGTCATAACCCTAAACCCTAAACCCTAAACCCTAAACCCCTAAACCCTAAACCCTAAACAACTTTTAAGTAATTAATGGTAGATGCAGCTCCTCCGCTGTGGACGGCGGATCCCAGCAGTAGCTGACCCTCAGAGGGCCCACGTGGTTATTGAGGGTTCCCTATAGGGGATTTGTCTGAGTTCAAGGGTTCTATAAGGGCTCCCTCAACCCAAAACCCTAAACCCCAAAAAAGGTCGCCGTTGCTTTGGCTTGAGGGTTCTGGGGCTTGCGGTTTAGGATGCATTGTACCAGAGTAGATGGACCCAAAACCCTGAACCCCTGAACCGTAAAGGGTAAACCACTACCCTTCTCACTAAAATACTCCGACGGAGTTCTGCTTTGGGTTAACGTTTGGCATTTGGGGGGGGTATGCGTTCAAGGTTATGGTTTAGGGTTTTGGGTTTAGGCTTCAGGGATTAGGGTTCAAGGTTTAGGGGTTTGAGTTTAGGGTTAAGGTTTAAGATTACTGGCTTGCAACTGCACTAACCGTCCATATTTAGACATCTGGGTCATTATCCCGAAGCCATTCCGCTTAAGGGGGATATGGTTTCCTTAATTGAGGGCTGGGTTCCAACCAGGTATTGGGACAAAACGGGAGCACTATCACTAATTATGCTGACCTTTACATGTATTTTCAACTCTTGTCACCCTCAAACTCCAAACCCTAAACCCCAAACCCCTAAACCAAACTCCAAACCCTAAACCCAACCTTAAACCCTTAACTCTAATGTGAAACGTTACCACCCCCCGGATCGACGGAGCCAGGGTTCTTGTTAAAGAACTTCGCTTCAGTCACATAATCAGGATCCATTGTAAATATTTGGGCTTCCGCTATAATGGTAGCTTGAATGACATTCCGTAACTCCTAAACCCTAAACCCTCCTCCCTAAACCCTATTGTAATAACATAAGTTAAACCCCTAAACCCTGAACAATAAAC